TCGTGCATGTTTTGTACTCCACTTATCCACTGATCAAACTTATTGGCTTTTTTACTCCAAACAGTGTTTTTTGACTGTTTTTTTTTTTGTTTGTTTGTTTTTTTACAACCAGAGCAAAGAAGCCACTGCGAGGCTGACAAAAGGAAAGACGCGAAAGCTGAACAAGCAACGCAAAAAACTGTGCAAAGCCGAGGCATTTCTGTCGTCCATGACTGTGTGCTTCCAGATGCTGAACACTTTGGCTACTTGAAGCTGAACTCAAGCACAGCATGAAACCAAACAAAAACCCTACGAGCGCTGCTAGTCGCGCTATACTCCACAGGCCTTTTCATTGGATTATGCAAGAAGAAGCTTCTTTACTTTAAGCTTTCCTGCCAAGTACCAGTATATGTCTTTTGCTGATGCTTTGGGTGTTGCATGACTACCAACTTTCCAGATAAGTTCCAAGCTGTAAAGGAACAAAACTATTAAGCCGAGCGAAACGGACACATTTATGGCTGGACTCTGGCTGAGGATGAGCTGTGAATAACTCCAGCAATGAAGAATTTACACAAACGTCTCGTGGAATGCACGCAAGCTGCCAAACCGGAAGGATGCAACACTTTCTAAACGGATTAACGTGTCAATACTGGAGTAATATAAGCTTCACATGTGCAAGTAAAAAAAACAAATGCATATGTATACAGACCAGTAAAGCTGTTTTAACCTTTTCGTTAAAGACAGACTCACAATAGTCATTGAAATAACCTAAAACTGATCAAAGTAATAAAAACAAACATACTGAAAATCAACAAATCTAAATCAGTCGCTGCTTTGAATTGTAGTTCAACAGAAATATAATTTTAAATAAACTAATGAAGCTGGTCTTGACAAAAAGGATGACCAGTCTGGCAACTTACGAGTGACAGGTAGTCACAGGGCTGTTTGGTATCGTGGTGTATACCAATGAATATTTTACTTCCCATATTCTTATTTAATTAGTATTACATTGTAGAAATTTGATTTCTCTTGGACATTGAAGTTTTTATGTCTAAAAAGACAAATTCATAGTAACCATGACTGATTTATGAAAGCCATGAAACGTCTAAGGGCTGAACACGTTTTATAGAAACTGTGCATCAGTGAGGGATTGCACCACCGGTGGTCACCGTTTGAGCCAGCGTGGACTTAATGAAGGATTGTGGAGGACGCCAAATCCTAAAAAAGGCGAGACTGGAGTTCATCAAAATGCAAGTTGAGAAGGTGCAAAGCTTCCAGGAGAACGTCTTTAAGACAAATGAGGCAAAACTGGAGGATTTTGTCAACAAGTCCTATCAGCTCCGAGTTCACAGACCCAAAAATGAAACATGCAAAGAAAAAAATAAACTACTTACAGTGAAACTGGAGGAGGTTCTGTTCAGGGGTTGCTTTGCTGCATCTGGCACAGGATATCTTGAATCTGTGCAAGATATGATTAAATCTCAAAAGTGTCAAAGCTTTATGAAGCAAAATGGGTCATGGGTCGTCCAACAGGATAATGACCCAAAACACGCAGCTAAAAACATCCAAGAATGGTTCAGAACCAAACACTGGACCCTGAGGGCCTCCTGAGCCCTGATCTAAACCCTGTTGAACATGTGAGAGAAGGAACCCTTCAAACTCGAGGCAGCTACAGCAGACACTGGACTGGAGTGATTGCCTAAACAGCAACGTCTGATTTTCAGAAACGGTTTTATTCTTTGATTTTGTTAATTTCAAGTTATTTCAGTGACCCATGTGAGTTTTTCTACCTTAAATGGAAGCACACTATTAAATATGTGTCTGTAAGACTGTATGCAGTTAGCTTTTATATTTACTCAGCAACGACTGCTGAAGCAAGACCAGGAAATATTAAGGTGCTCACATAGTTTTGCTTTCACTTTAGGAAACGGCCGAACTAGCCTCGGCATATTTCTGTTATCTAGTTATTTTAGGCTGTGTGTCAAGTCTTCGCTGCTCTCTTCGGTTACATTTTGTTCATTACTCATCGGGTTTGATTGATGTATTAAAAGCAGATTTTGCTACAGATGAACGACTTCAGCTCACGGGTCTAATTATGTGTTTGTGGGAGACATTTAAGAAGTGTTTCCCCACCACTTTTAGTGAGTGCTGTGATTAATGATACTTCCCCATTTAAGGAAAAATATGAAGATAGTCGTGTAGCAGGGAAGACAGATTTCCCAACTTTAACATTTGTCTTCTGCGGCTGCAGAGCTTTGCTCTTTGTGCCTTCAGCAGTTCTGCAGCTATTCCTTTTTCATGTCAGGTACTACATAAGCTAAATCTGTCAATCAAATGCATGTTTCTTAAGCAAACTAGAGGAATTGCATTTCCTGTGAGGTGAATGCTTATTCCACAAGAACTTGCTGAAAAACAGCTGAAATTCTTAAAAAAAACAACAAAAAAAACATGCTGACATGTAGCTGAAATGAACAAGCCTAAATTAGCTGAAGAAAGCAGAAAGAACACATATTTGCTGAATTAGGTTCAAATAAGCAGAAATGAGCACAGAAATGAGAAAATTAGCTAAAAAAAAAGCTTAAATTTGTAAAAAAAAAAAAAAATGCTGAAATGGTAGCTGAAAAGGCAGAAAGAAGCTTAAATTACCAGAAGTAATTGGAAAGAGCTGACATGAGCTAAAAAATGTGGAATTAGCTGAAAAAGCTAAAATTTGCATAACAACAGCTAAATTGTAGCTGAAACAGCAGAAAAGGCTGAAACCAGTAGAAAATAGCTGAAAGGAGGACAACAAGCTGAAATTAGCCTAATAATTTTAATTAGATTGAAAGTAGCAAGAATTAGCACAAAAACTTGAATTGATATGAAAAATTTAAAAATGCTAAAGTAGCTGAAAAGGTAGAAAACGCTATAAGTATTAGAAGAAAAGAATAAAGAACACATTTGCCCAATTAGACTGAAAGAAGCAGAAATGAGCACAAAAAAGTGGAAATTAATTGAAAAATGCTGAAGCACACACACACAAAAAAAGCTGAAAAGTAGCTAAAAAGGCAAAAAGAAGCTTAAATTACAGGAAGAAAGTGGAAAGCGCTGAAATGAACTTAAAAAAAAGGTGGAATTAGCTGAAAAAGCACAAATTTGCCTAAAAACAGCTAAATTGTAGCTGAAACAGCAGAAAAAGCTGAAACCAGCAAGAAAAAAAAAGCTGAAAGGAGCATAACAATTTTAATTAGGTTGAAAGAAGCAGAAATTAACACAAAAAAATTGAATTTATATGAAAACTGATTAAAAAATGCTAAAGTAGCTGAAAAGGTAGAGAAAACTTTAAGTATTAGGGAAAAAAAGAACATGTTTGCCCAATTAGGCTGAAAGAGGCAGAGATGAGCACAAAAAAGTGGAAATTAACTGAAAAAAGCTGAAACAAGCAAAAAAAAAAAAAACACCTGCTGTAAAGAAGCTAAAAAAAAAGAAAAAAAAAAAGAAAGCAGCTTAAATCACCAGAAGGAAGTGGAAAGAGCATTTTTGCTGAATTTAGTTGAAAAAAAAAAATTTGTGGAATTAGATGAAAAAGCTTAACTAGCTTAAAAATAGCTAAATAGTAGCTGAGAAAGATGAAAAGGCTAAATGTTTTTAAAAAGCTAAAGTTGCACCAATACCAAAAAGGCACAGCAGGACTGTCCTGAAACAGCCGAACGTTTTCATTTATGATCTGTTGAAATGGCTTGAAAACTGCGGGATGAGAATCTCGCCGAAAAACGTACAGAAGAAAACGTAGATCACAACAGAGCGAACGCTTCATATCAACACAATAAAGCCGGAGGCATCACATGAAACACTGCATGCGAGTTCCAACTCCCTACATTTGTCCAACTTTCCTTGTAGGAATGCAAACTTCCAACACTATTTTTGTTTTTTAACATCCTTTAATACGAAGAAGGGGCGTGTCGGTCAAAGTTTGTAAACGTTGCTATGCATTATATCGTGACAATGATGAGATCTCACACGGCTGAGTTGCAGATGACGGTCTTGGCTCAATATCTACAAAGCTGAAGCACATTTTTGTGATTAATGATTAGCTGAAGCTGCCAACTTGAACCTCTAATGAGTACCTTGAATTTTAACATCAACCATCCAGTTCGTAAAATCTGTGGCCAACACTCGAGCAGTAACTTCATGATATCCTTCAAAGACAAATGGAAATTAAACATATTCATGGTGCACTGATTAAAAGAGCAAAACCAGTACCGCACTGCCTCCCAGTAAACGGATCACAGGTTTCTTCATAGAAGTTTATTGATGGTTGATAAACACAGCATTAAGAGCAGAACCATGTTCAGGATAACAGCCGTTGTCGGTTCGGTCCATTTTTACATTTCGAGTCGTGTTTGCTTCCCGCGCACGTGTGCGCACGTCTGAAATAACTCGGATAAAGCTTAAAAACAGTAAAAATGACACAAATAACAAAGCGTTTCTCATGCATATCATCTGCGAGGATTTAAATAGACTCCTTAAAAATCAACAATTAATCTATTTTTATACAAATTAAGAATAAAACTGTTTAAAACCTACAGAATGTTCAAGAGCAAAAGAATTAATACGGACCTTGTTCAGATGCTGAAAACGACATGAAACAAGTAAATAAATAAGTTTTGTTGTATAAAATGAGCGGGAGCAAAAGTAAACGCTACGGTTTTGTGTTGGTATAATTACGGGAAAAAGTAGCGACGTTAAAGGGAGCGCTGACCCGTCAAAATAAAAGGTGGGAGGGTTCGACGTTCCGAACCGTTTTCCTCAGAAAAGCACTTTCTTCAGTAGTCTATCATTATTGCACTTCAATGGGAACACTGAGCATGAACCGGATGCATTTCAGAATTAAAACAGCGGGGCAGGCGACGCGTTTTCTTCTATTTTTACATTTTACGTCCAACTATGCATCGATGCGCGTTTGCTTATCTTGTGGCGGTCGTGTTATTTTCAACCGCAACAATCCTGGGAGAGGGAACGATGATCCACAAGATTCGTTTCCGCATCATCAGCCAGCGTCAACCAAAACAACCATTCGGAGTTTAAAATATAACCCGCCCAGGAGAATATGCATTAACCCTTCGTCGGAAAATAATCCAGCTGAAGCTCAACTGCCAGAAAACTAGATCCAGGTTTGAAACAAAACCTGGAAACGATGTTCGTCTTTTGTGTTTTATCTGCTTTGGTGAGATTTTCCGACGTGGCACATCCCTGCTTTCCTCTACTCCCCCTGACCCCCCCACCATCAGATGCACATCCTCCTGACCCCGCATTCGCAGCAGAACTTGGCGGATTCGACGGGGTACTTGGTGCCGCAGGCGTGACAGAACCTGCTCTTCGTTCCGCCGTCGCCAACTTCCGTTCCGCCGTCGACATCATTCCTAGAAATAAAAAAAAAATAAAAAAATAAAAAAAAACACAAGGAAGCACGTTAAGAATTTATGCAGTTACATTTACCGACGAGGCTGTCTAAACAAATGACTCCCTGTAGACGCTACGACGTTTATGCTGCTTCACAGACGTTGATCCTTCTGGTTTTTAAGACTCTGGGAGGAACGTTTCAGGTTGAACGCTCCAGACGTTGAGACGTAAAAATTAAATTCTCTCGGTGCGTCAGGACATACGCAGCGGTACCGGTTAAGTTAGTCATCGTTAAAGCTGAACAGTAATGTTTAAATCCGATAAGTGACAAATGCTCCAAAGCACCGGTCCTGATCAGCTGATTTTAGTTATTACGTTAGCATGTGGCTGCTCCAACAATGGAAGGCTGCCAAACACAATTCAAATCTAATCTGATTAAATTAAATTCATAAATCAGTGAGTCCAGGCGTGTTCATGCAGTACAGAAAAACAACCACAGGGGAGCAGAGGAGATCAGACTTGTTGTTTTTCCAGCGGTTGGCGCTCATTCACCTGGATATGTGGGGGTCCACCTTCTTCTTGTGGGCTCCTGCTCCAGCCTGAGAGGCCTTCATGCTTCCGTAGCCGGAGCTCACGACTCGGGCCTTACCCCCCACACTGACAGAGAGGAGTTGCAGAATGTAAAGCATGTCGAGGCCTTGGTTTGTAAACGCCGAGCTCTACTGTGATGCATGCGCTTAGACTGCGCTGCAACAGCAGCATGTAGATCAGGGCTGTTCAACTAAATTACTCAGGGGGCCTGACGTCATTAAGTTGTTTGTTTTATGATTTTAGATCTAGTTTTATTTAAAAGGAACTCGAACTGAGTTCATCCGTTGGGCCTGATTTGGCCCCCGGGCCACCAGTTGAATAACCCTGACAGGCTACATGAGTACAACATTAAACAAATGTTAAGCAACAAATGGCTTCAGAACATGCAGTAATTTAAATAAAACTGTTTTAAATAAGGAATCCATGGGCCATGTTGACGTCATGATATTCTTTACGAGTGACCAACACTACGTGTTTGCTGTCCAGACACACGGCAGCCGTAACGTCCTGCATCAAGGACGCGAGGAAATAAAAGTGAAGTTAAATCTTTTGAAATTTATTTGTTGGAATTCTGAATTAAATTTCTGTTTCAACACAACCTTCGCTAAGAGACCCAACGGTAATGTAAACAACAATTTCCAGCCAAACGAGCGACTAAATCAGCAAAAGTCTGAGTCGGTATGAGCTCAAATGTAAACAGTGCTACTTTACCATCAGTGTGCGTGTACGTGCGCTCACCCTGATGGTGGGCTGGCGAGGCCGGTGGGATTACTCCTGACTGAACCTGCCATGGACACCTTACCGGAGGAGTATCCTTCAATGAGAGAAAGATGATTAATTCAAGATGGCGAGCGTTTATGGAGTTCATACAATTAATTAAAATAAAATAAAAAGTTTAAATGCAGCAGGTACTCCTGTTTGATCATAAAGTGTTACTTCGTGCTTACTACAATTTAAAAACATATTTTTAGAGTTTTTCCCGTCCCGTTTTTGCAACAAGTGATAAAAACCATCTGTAACAGAATGACACGAGGTGTAAAATGTAGGAATCTGTTTTTTTTATTGTTGACCACTTCCATTCATCCAACTTCCAGTAACATGGTGCGACCTTTTTTTTTTTTACTTTAATAGCGGTTAATAAAAGTTTAGAAGTATTTGTTAAAGTAAACGAAGATGTTTGATATTATGAATTTAAAAAAAGGTTAAATCGACATCTGGACCAGTTTCTTTGAGGGAGAAATGATTTAACTTTTTTTGTTGTCATCTACCTGGATGATTAAGCTTAAAACTTTTGTTTGTTTTTGCTCTTATTATGAGGAATAAGCAATAACTGCCATATTTCTTGCCGTATAAGTCGCACCTTTTTGCATAGATTTGCAAGTCCTGCGACTTATGCACCGAAGCGACTAATATATGTTTTTCCCTCATATTTATAACAATATTTGGCTAAGATCTGACGATTTCATTCATTCTGACATGGAAAATATTGAACACTACCATTTTCAAACTGCTAGAGGGCCCTCGAGTAAAATGAGACGCTTGGCTTGCCATACCAAGCCACCTTCGTCTCGCTCCGGAGCTCCTGGAGCGAACGTCAAATCAGCTGCACGTCGCCGCCCAGGTGAAATGCAGCTGATCTGGCCATTATAGAGCATTTATTAAGAAAAAGTTCAACTGAGACGCACCTTTACTATAATTTGGAGCAAACAATTGTTTTTAAGTGTAAATCTTGTTAAAGTCCTCCCGTGCACGCTCCCGTGACCACTATTTGGCAGGCAATCCATTTTGGGCACACCGGCCCACATTTCCAGGCGTAATAGATGCAATTTATACAGCGAAGCGACTTATTTATGTTTTTCCCACTTTATTAGACATATTTGGACTGACGCGACATACGGCAGAAAGTATGGTAAATATGCAAGAAACAAGCCTTTTTTTAATATTTACTTTAACTTATTTCAAAGTGGCAGACATATTATTGTTTTCAGAAAATATAGAGAGGACACAAGTATTTATTGTTGTTTAAATTTAATCCATGTGAGAATACAGTTTTTGGTATTCTGACATGTATTGTTACACCTTTGTAAGGGGGAAAAGTGAAAACAGACACGGTGTTACTTCCGTCACGTCCAGTGTTGCAATGGACGAGCAGAAGACACACGTTTTACCTCAGACATAACCAATCGAGACACGACCGGTAAATAAGCTGTCAACACAAACTTTGAAAAGTTACCACGCTCTAAAGACTATATACAACTGTAGTAAGAAAAATAACATAAAAGAAAATGCATTTGAAACATATAATTTTACTGCATCGTTCTGTGACCTTTGAACTGCAAGACAACAATCGATCATAGATCAATAGATCAGCAATCACAGTGCATATTATTCCCATGAATTCAACAGAGGAATGAATTATGGAGTTTTGTTTTCCATTTACATTTCCCACATACTACCATGAACCAGACAATTAATTTTACCCAAATAATACAAAACAATATTTTTTAAAAGCTGAAACAGTTTTATAACTACTACAAAATCATCGTCATCAAACTCTTATAGTTCTGTCTGAATGTAAAACTCGGTTTTTATATGTAGTACTCAGTTGAGTTTATTTCTAATTTAAAGTGGGTTTTGTGGCTCTGGTCACTTTTTATTTCGTGAGGTAAAAATCTAAAATGACTCTCTGGATTGTAAAGGTCGCAGACTCCTCACTAATATTTTCAGAGAGTATTTAATTGCTCTGCTGCCACCTAGTGGGCACACATTAGGTCAGTTTTAATTTGGGTTTTAACTGGGTCAACAGCATAATAAAACCAGATAACTTGAGTTATCTGATCTTACAAATAGAATTCTCTTGTTGTTGTTGTTGTTGTGTTTCTGTAAACCTCCCCACCGCACAATAAAACAATTTAAAAAGTATTACGTAGGGCAAAGTCTTTAGGTATTTCAAACAATCTGCCACAAATGCACAAAGCTGCATAATGTGAACATTACCCTGAGCTGCCTGAACGATGACGCTGCGCTGCCTTACCAGTGGACGGTCCCCTCTGAGGTAAATGAGACGTCGCTGATGAGACGGTCGACGCAGCAGGAGAGTTGGTCTTCTTCACTGGGGCAGGAGGCTTGTACTTAAAAAACAACAATAAAGGAGTAAATAAATACCAAAAAGTACAGTAGTCCCTCGCTACTTCGCAGTACGACTTTCGCGTTGTTGCGGTTTGTGGACGTACAGTCCATAATATATAGTATTGGACAAAAAAATAATTAATATTATTCACGTGATTGGGACAGTACTGGATAAAGTTAATGAAAAAATTAAATATTTCAGACAAGTGCCGCCATTTTGTAGTTTTCTCTTAGTAATCCTCCACTGTGTTCCCGCTCATAATTCAGGTCTCTCTTGTAAATGAGTCCCTGAGGCTCAATGGGACCAACCTGTATAAATAAAGGTTGAATACCTCATTTCCCAGAAGGCAACAGGGCTCCGCCCAGAAGCCTCGTTTCCTTCTGCTGACAAAAACAGAGGTAAAGTTTTGATCTGATCGGCGCCCCGGGAGCAGAAGACGACCAAACCCATCTGTCAATCTTGAGCTAGTAGCCCGCCCACGTGGACCTCCGAGCAAACGAGCGTGGCCGAAGGTCCGGCGCTCCGTCCGGAACTCATCGGGACATTTTTAATCTCCGTCAACCGGCCCACGAAGAGGCCGGAGCAGAGAACGCGCGTCGCCAATGATCCAGTGATCCATCTGAAGCTTAACGGCACGTTTTTAATATTTTTCAACCAACCTCTGAGCGGGGGACACGCTGGTGAGTAAAATTTACTAGTTACGTAGAAGCATGTTGTTGTTGAAGAGTGTAGCACATTGACTGTGGTGCTGCAGGGGACGTCTGCAGGAACGGAACAGTTGGACCGGAAACGAACTGAGCCACTCCTCATCTGCAGAGCCCGGTAAGTTAAATTTATTAGCTACACGTACAGTAACAAAGTTCATGCTCAGTACTGTACGTATATGTATGTTGTTAAAATGACGCAGGTTTAAGTATTTAGAAGATTGCAAGCGTGCTGGAAGGGTTTATAAATCCTTAAAAGATATAGTATAAATACTAAAATAAATAGTATGCCTTCTCTACTTTGTGGTTTTTCACTTATCATGGGGGGGGGCGTGGTCCTTAACACCCACGATAAACGAGGGACTACTGTAATACTTCAGTTGTGAAGACATAATACAAGTACACGAAGAAATATCTGTATAAAACTTGAAACTCATCAGGCTTCTGTTTTTGTAGGTTTTCAGCCTATAATGTCTTCACACAGAGCGAGCACCGTTTAGGAAAGTTAAAGTATTTATTTTCTCGTAGTGATGGCTAACGAGTTCTTAAATTAAAGGTTGGTGAATGGCTGCCTCTCCCACAGGTGTTAATCTGCAGAAGCAGCTGAAGGCAATGAAAACGGGTCAACTACGGTGATGACAAGTCAGGTACCAATTTCTCCGAGTCGCGTCAAATATGTAAATAAAAGTGCATACCCACATTTTAGAACTGCACATCAATACATGTGGAAAACTACTTGAGTAAACTCAAACTTTATCGATTGATTTAGTCTAGGATCAACTTTGAGTCGTGAGGACTTGGACCATTAAACAAAGCAGAGCTTGTTTTGGGTATAAAATCAGTTCATCGTTCAGCCGTGACTTTTATTAACAAACAGACTCGCATCGTGTTTGCTGTGCACGTGTGTACCTGTGCGCGGCCAGGAGGCCTCTTGGCATTGCCGAGCTTGTTTTTGTTGGGCATGCGGGCCGTCTGCTCCTGGCAGAACTTGATGTGTCTGTCAGCTGCGCTCTCGTTGAACCTCCGCTGACAGTAAGGGCACTGGATGTAATCTATAAAGAACAGCAGGACCTTTGTGAACGGACAGACCTACAGCTGTGGTTTAAAGATCTGCTTTACTACCTGGATCATAGGTGGGGGGCGGAGGTGGGGGTAGAGGTCCCCCTTCCTTTATGACCTGAGTGAGGACCTTGGCAGCGCGGATGGTGGCGATGAAGTCCTCGTGCTTCTTGCGCCAGTTGGACGACTTCTTCGGGGGCTCTGCCTGGCAGGACAACCGTACGGCAGTTTGTTTATGGAGTTAGTTTATAGCTCAACATACTAAAGCTCATCTATAGACTCGCTCATCTCAGCCTGGAAAACAACCGAAGCCCTGTGTGAAAAATGCTAAAGAGCTCAAACCACATTGAGAGGCCGCCATTTTGAGAACTGAAAAGAGACAACCCATATCATGTCAAGGGGCCTCCCTCTCATTTTTCTTACAGACACGCTGCTCGCTCCCTCGCTATCCATCCTTGGATTCAGTCTTATACTGCCATCCGGTGGTCGAAAAAAGGTACTACACTCAAAACAAATTAAACATTTCATCTTAAATTTGACAATGATTACTAATTATTGTCAAATTTAAAACTATATTGTTTATCGCAATAATTTCTGAGACAATTAATTGTATAGCTAAATTTGTTATCGTGACAGGCCTAGCTAGGAAATAACAAAAACCTTCATGACGGATCTAAAATGTTACTAAACGCCATAATTGTGATCAGCTAACAAGTACAAGATGGGTTCATATGAAGAGGTGTTCACGCAGATATGAATTCTTAGATGTTAGTTTAAAGCAAAGGGACAGTAAATGGTCCAGAGCATTTTGAAATGTTGGAAACAGAATTGGAAAATTGAACAAATAAAATGGAAGTCCATGTAAAATCCTGCTAAATTGTTTGACACGTGGACGCAGCTTTAGAAAATTAAGGTTATCCTCAAATATCGAATTGTATTTCAAACTTTCCACAATAAACTAGAGACCGCAATTTGGCCGCTGCAGCTTCCTGTCTGCGACGTGATGAGTTCCCATCAAGTAAAAGGCGTTGAAACCCGCTTTTTAAAACCGTGTTATGCTTTGAAAACAAACGGTGAGACTTTCAGTGAGACTGCAAGACAAAACGTACCCAATCTCTAAATATTCAGAACGTGTCTCCCCACCGTCATACCACCAAAACTATCCCATGCCTTCATCTGATCATCATTCGTCAGTGAGTCAAATAGAGCAATGGTTCCCAACACTGGTCCTTGAGGAACACCATCCTGCATATTTTAGTCGTTTCCCAGCTTTGACACATCTGATTTAAATGAATGGGTGATTAACAGGCTCCTGCAGAACATGATGAAGTAATTAAATCACTGAATCAGGTGTGTTGAAGCAACTAAAACATGTAGGATGGTGTTCCTCAAGGAACAGGATTGGGACCACTGAAATAGAGACATGATTCTCAACTCTTCAGCTTTAGAACCACAAAATAAAAGCTGCAAAGACACGTCTCCCTGTCTGTTACAGGTTAAAGTGAACAAACACTGTTATTTAATCATTTAGCCATCAACCAATTAAATGTTTTTATCCGTTTATATTTACAAATTCGATCTCTTTAACTCTTATTCTCTTTTATCTCTTTATTCGATCTCTTTAGGAATAAATCTGCTATTGGCTGATATTTCTTTTTAAAGAAGTGATTACTGCAGCTCTTGGTGTTTCACACACTGGGGTCCTGACTCCAGCTTTAAGAAATTAAAATTAAGGTACTTTTATTTTAAAAACAAATGTTTACTTTAATATGAAGTATGTATGTATGTATGTATGTATGTATGTATGTATGTATGTATGTA